GAACTGTCACCTAATGCTTTGGACGTGCCTTTCAAAATGGAGCTGAAGCATACTGCTTAAGCAAAATAGGGAAATTTTGTCACTGCAAGTTTTAGAACAGCAAGGTTAATGTTAAAACCTCTGTGGTGACCTGTCTGGAAGGAGTGGGTGAGGTTCCTTCTTATGCATCCAGTAGGCGTAAACACAGAAATGCTTTTTCCACAACTGCTGTCTTTAGAAATGGGTAATTTGGGGTATGAGTGTGAATCAGCAGAGCATGTAGGAATTTCACATTTGTTTTTGAGCTTCCTTGAGTCAAAGAAGGTGTTTTTTATAGTGACACTGAAGATATCAGTGGGTCTCTGACATCAAAATAATTTGTCCAGACAAACAGCTCTGTTTCCCAATGGTAAATGTCCTCAGGGTCTTGGGTAGTACAAGCTGTCCCCCTTTTTTAAAGAGAGAAATCACAGCAAAGCAGTCACACAGAATTTACAGAATGAACATGGCAAGAAAATAAAGTTTTGGAGTTGTGTGATGTCTGAGGGGGACTTACCCAACACTGCTGGACACGACACAGCCGCTTCACCAAGAATTGTGAAGAGGCCAGAAGGGCTTTTGTGCCTGTTGGCGTTTCTTTGGCACATAATCTCTTTATTACCTTTTTCTTCCTGTAAAAATACAGTGCTGATATAAAAGGAGTTTTTGCTGATGTGCCAAAATTCAGTGCACCCCATTGTATTATTTTCTTCCTCATCTGTATTCTCCAAAATCTCTTACCCCTGTTTCAGTGCCCCAAAAGGACAAACCTTCTCCAAAACATTTCAGGTTTTGTGCTCGGTCACTTATTTTACGCTGGTGATATTAAAATACTGAATCTAGGAAAAGGCTACCCAGCTCTCTCATTAAATTTGTTGAATAGCCTTCAGATGAAAATAGATTGTTTGGAAGGAGGGTTAGCGCACAGAAAATGGAATTAGTGGCAAAAATTATTCCTTCTTATTTGGTCTCCTCTTACATTCCTTAGTAAGGCCTCTTGGAGTAGACTGGGTGGAATCAAAGGCTACCCAGCTCTCTCATTAAATTTGTTGAATAGCCTTCAGATGAAAATAGATTGTTTGGAAGGAGGGTCAGCGCACAGAAAATGGAATTCGTGGCAAAAATTATTCCTTCTTATTTGGTCTCCTCTTACGTTCCTTAGTAAGGCCTCTTGGAATAGACTGGATGGAATAGTACCTCAGTACTGCAAAAGTTCTGCCATTCAGGAAGTCTGAGCAGTACCTGGGGGAGGGAGGGAAGGGAACTACGGAGGAAAGCTGTATTTAAGGAACATGAAAACATTTTACAGAATTGCTTGGTCAAAATAATGATCTTGTCTGAACGCTTTGAAGTCCAGTTAATTGTGTTTTTTCCCCCTTGAAATACAACAAGTTTGTTTTTTGCATGCTTCTTGGGAAAGTGCAGTTAGGAAAAGAGATGGAAGGTAAGCTACTGTCTGCTTGCTATTAGTGTCATCTGGATTTTAAATGTACTACTTTTGCTTGGCTTCTCTTAAGTTTGATTTGTTCTGTTGCGGGCATTCAACGTAAGCGCTTTGTGAATTTCCAGAAGTGCCTGAATGTCTCTGGGGGCATACCACGGGGGACAGTGTCAGGAGTGTTTGTACTGACTTCTTGCATGCAACCCTTTCCCCTCTCTCTAGAAAATCAATGAGAATTGCAGTGCTTCATCAACCAGCTCAGCAGGACAACCCCAAAATCCGACAGATTCTGGGCAGCCCAGCAATTGTTCAGCACCAACACCTACAGCAGCATCAGATTCCCAAGTAGCTGGTGGTGGCGTCGTGTCGGCTCACGATGCTCAGCCTGCTGCCGCGGGGCCCTGAGACGCGCTCATCTTACCAAACCCAGTGCATGGAATCCTGCTTCTCACCTGGGGAACGCTGGAGTAGGAGCTCAAAAGTAGGACTTCCTTCATCTTAACGATCATAATGTGATGCAGTGCAAGCTTTTAACTATATAAAGAATATTCATATGACTACACAGAGCAACATTAGCAGGGAAGCCAAAAGTTCGGAATTCTTGAGGGAAGTGATATGGACGGATCTAACGGTAGGAAGAATTCTTGGCTGCTTTGCTAAAGCTGAGTCAAGTGCTATGAGATTTCTTTGCAATCTGTAGAAAAAGGGAGTTCACTCTTCACTTGTTGAGGCACAGTGTGTCTGGCTTGATTGGATAATTTTCTTCGAATTTGCTCCCAAGACAAAATGAAAAGACTTCTTAAGAGAGAAACTGAGTTTCCCTGCATCGTCTATTAGAAAATATCAGATCCAATAAATATAGGAACAGCATGAAACTGTCTCTGTAAAGATTTCTCAGAAACAGAATAGCTTTAGCAAGCGTATCTTCAAGTTACGGTGATGGATTAAGTAAAACACAGACATATTCAAAGAATATGTTTTTGGAGCTAATGTTATCTTGTTTGAGATAAAGGTTTAGTTCTGCAAAGCAAAGGTTTTGAACTGGCATTTTAGTGGAACAGAAAAGCTGGAGGAAGGCTTCTGAAGGGGTTAACCTCTGTGCTTGCAGCCCTTCAGTTGGGCATAGGTTGTGTGCGTTTGGGTAATTTTAGGTTTGCTGTTGTTTTGAGACAAGAATCTTTGATCAAGATTGCACAACCTGAGACTGATCAAGGGTTTCAGTGGACACACTGTCTTTTTGGGTTTTTTATTTCATCATCTATACAATGATTTATTTAATGCAGTGTAGTTAACTGTTGTTATTTATTAAGAAAATGGTAAGCTTTAAGTGCCTAGGGAAGGTGGGGGGGTAGGGAGGAATCACCTAAAAATCTTAATGATTAGGATTGTAGGGGCAAAGTTGTTGAAATAGAGTAGAGTGAGAGATTCTCAGGAGGAAGCAAACGTAACTAAATTGCAGTATGCTTAGGAAATTACTTTGCCCAATGTCAAGACACTGGAAGACTATGGATTATGTTTTGTTATGCTTTTCAATATTAACTGCAGCCAGCTCGCCTGCTGGTGCGTAGTGAAAATTGCTGCTGGAGGGATATCCTGGGGCTCCAGGAGGAGTCTGAGAGGTTTAGTCAGGATAGTGTTTTGGCCCATTTGCTTTTATTAACAGCTTGTTCCTGGGAGATTCTGAGCACTCAGCTTCTGTGGGACTGAGTATTGCTCAGCCTCCTTGAAATCAGATGTACGCGATGTGTCAGGCCTTCTGTGGGGAAGGAGCGTGCCGTGGGACTGTACAGTGATCCAGAGACAAGGTTAACAGGAGCACAGGGACAGGGAGAGGAAGAGGAAGATGGCAGCAGCTAAGCAGGAAAGGGGGTGCTGGGTTTTACCCCCTCTGACATCCCGTTAGCTTGACTGAAGGGGTGTCCCGTAGCTGTGTTTTAGCTGTGCTTTTAGAACAACCCATGTTCTGGTGGTGCCTGGGACCAACACCATAGACAAAATAAAAAGCAACATCGATGACTAGCCACTAGTTAACTTTTTTTGCACTTGAACTTAAATGTACTGTACTCACATAAATCCTCATGACTTGTCTAAGTGTCCTTTAAAATCAGAAATGTATTTATTGTATGTTTGTATAACTTGGGGGAGAACTAAAGACCGCACAGGTGACAGAAGGATGCTAAAAATCATCTTGAGGCAAAGCAACCATTTGTTGAGTTCACGCTGTATGGTGTTACCTCAGCTGCTACTGCATAGCACCTGGATTGTGAGGTGAAGAGCTTGTACACTGTGTTTACACTTCAGAATTGTGTATTTGAAATGCCTGCTCTTTTTGGAATTGTATAGTCATTCTATGTTGCAAAACGGATATGTACACCTGGATTTTGATATTTGTGAAACTGTAAAAACTGTGGTAAGAAATATAAAATATCCATAATGTATTTAATAGTATCAATTGGAACTTTTATTACATTTTCTCGTATTACAGTATCAGCAGTGAACATAATCACTTGAAATGAAAACAAATCAATGATAGTGACCTTTTGCTAGGTTCACTGCCTGGAGGATAGGGAACCTAGAGCCTGGGAACTACTCCTGCGCGGCGTTAAAATCTGTTTCACAAAGTCTGACTGTAGGCACAAACTGCCCTGTGCGGGGCGAGGACGATGTGAGGGATCCACACCAGCATGCATCATTTTTAAACTGAAAGAGGGAGATTTAGATTAGGTATCAGGAAGAAATTCTTTCCTGTGAGGGTGGTAAGACACTGGGACAGGTTGCCCAGAGGAAGTTGTGGATGCCCCATCCCTGGAAGTGCTCAAGGCCAGGCTGGATGGGGCTTTGAGCAGCCTGCTCTAGTGGAAGGTGTCCCTGCCCATGGCAGGGGGATTGGAGCTAGATGATCTTTAAGGTCCCTTCCAACCCAAACCATTCTGTGATCTTAAATAGGCTGATATGGACGTGTGCAGGACACCATGAGTGAAAGTCAAAATTGGATTATGTTTGTCACCTGGCAGTTTCAAGATAGAGGTTGCCAAGTGCAGGTCATGTCAGCTTGTATGGAAATACTTCCAGTTTCTGTTTCTGATCATATTTGTCAGCTTGTATGGAAATACTTCCAGTTTCTGATCATATTTACACTGTTGCACGTGCCCTATACAGTGGCACATTTGTCTGGAATTTATCTTAGGTGTAGAACAGTGAAATTTTTCCTGTTTCACCTGGTTAATCTGTGTGCCTACAAAAGCGATGGCAGGGAGAGATGTTAGTGTTGCTCTGTGTGCATGTGTGCACCTGCCACCTCACTCGTCACCCAGTGAATCTGGCTTTTGGCGGTTTGGATCTGTCACGAGTGGAGAATAAGAATGGCAAGTTCCTTCAGGGAGGTGCATTCAAGGTAGAGGGGACACTGTTTTGGAGCAGCCGCAGCTAACCTGCAGTGACTGTTTCTTAAATCTGCAACAAGGAGAAAGCCTCAGTTGCTTGGGTCTTCCTTGGTGTAGCTGTTCTGAAGAGAGTGAATGAGTAAGGGAGGAGAACCACATAGTTGAAAAATAGTTTTATTTAAAAAAATCTTGAAAGTACAAGACAATCTATAAAGTATGCTGTACTGTGAATACAAAATAAATATGAAATCTAACTTTTTAAATACTGTGAAACAGAAGATAAACGTAACTCATCCTTTGTTAAGAAAGAGAGGTTTTTTTAGAATGGTTATGGCAATGGATTAACATCTAGATTCTGTTCCCAGATCTTGTGGCTGAACACTGGACAGCACTTAACACTTGTGTTTCAGTAAACCTATGTAATCTCTGTGTATCACAGGAGCACTGTGCAAGTAAACTCACTTTTGGCAAAGGGCTCAAATGACAGCAGTTGGTTTTGGTGGGTTTTGTTTATTAAATGCTTCCAACGTTGGAACATGCTTGCGGGGCTTTTTAAGGTCGGTATCAGCTATTCACTAAAGTAGTTTTCATCTTTCTCATATGTTGCTATAATTCCATCTTGGATGTCCTTAGCAGTTTCCTGCTCTACTCTGGATAGTATTTAGGCATCCCTGGCAAATGATGGACTTCATAACTCCATATAACGTGGGTTGAATTTTATTTTTTTTTAGGGAGCAGGTGTATGTGGTATTGTTCTAAATAATTTAGAAAAAGAAACAGTGCCTGAAAAATGCAATTGCCTATTTTTAGGGGGGAGGAGGTTCCTCTTTAGCACATTGCATAGGTAAAATAGGACTGTGTAATATAGATAAGACATCTAAATTTCTCTCCCTGTTCTTTTCCTCCCCACACACCTCCTATGCTAAGTCCCAAAGAGGGCTGAAGAAGGGGAGGTGGGAGCCAGGTACCCCTCCCTCCTTGTTTTGGAATTACCTTCCACTTTCTATTGATGAGCAAAGTATTGAGTAAGCTCAGGAGAGTGGAGCTATCTGTGGGTTATCTGTATGGCCAATTACATGGTTACAGCATCACTCTGGCGCTGCTGACAGGAGTTCCTCCAAGCAGCTGAATCAGCCTCAGCCTTTGTTGTCTTTTCTGGGCTGCTGAGAGGCCTGGAACGGAGGCCAGAATCCATCTGAAGTAAGATGAAATTGAAAGGAATGGTAAAAATACATTTTGGGGATGGAAATCCTCTCCTAAATCATCTGCAGTTGTCAGAGGTGGAGAAGCAGAGAACTGAGGAAACGTACAGCAGAGAGGGACCTGTAGAAGAGGGAAGAGGAGTATGTAAAGAAATAAAGACATGGAAAGAACAAACTGCAATGTAACTAGAGCAGAGACCAAGAACAGAAAAATGCAAGCAGAGGGTGAAAATTCAGGCAGGGTTTTGAAGAGTGAGAGGAGCTTAAAACAAATGGTGGAGAGGCAAAATGAAGCCTGGCCAGAAGAGCAAACAGACCTCATTCAGCTGTGTTAACTCTCTATTGATCTTTAGCACTGAGGAGTCCCACAAACAATAAAAATAGTTTATCATCACACTAACAGCATTATGAAAATTGTTGACACATCAGGTACTTAGGAAAAGTAGAGTCTTATTAATGGCTTCTCCTCCCTCTAGTGCTCAGCACAGAGGACTTTGACAATGAAAAGGGCAAAAACAGATTCTCTGTTCTCTAGAGGTAGTATCCTTGGAAAAACAAGGCGTCCTGGTGGGACAGGCTGCTGCCAGTACTTGCTTTGGAAATAAGCAACATTTCCTTCCCCCGTTAAGTACCGATAGCATAAGAATCCTCTTCACTTGAACAGCCCCTGTGGTTTCCTTCTGTTGCTCTAATCAGGCAACATCAGTGATAGAAGAAACAGGTTTTTTTCAAAAATCCTTGTTTGTCCACCAGCAATCAGAAGAAATCACCAAGCGTGATCTCTTAGTCTGTATTCTTCCTTTCTAGGACAAATGTGTTTTCCCTGCTTTTTTTTTTTGGTTATTTCCCAAAGCTCAGAGCAACTCTGTAGCATATGGAAATGGAATTTGCTTATGCATTTCATCTTCATCCTCCTCATCTCCCTCATGGATGGAATTGGCTGGTTCATCTTGCTCAGATCCTGCCCTGGTCTCAAAGAGCTGCTCTTCCAAGAAGCAGCTCCCAATGCCGTATTCCTCATCGTGCGCCTTTGTTTCTGCAGGTGAGACGTGGGGAGAGCCCAGAACAAAACCTGCAAACCTGCCAAATTTTTAAAGTGAGAAGTGATCAGCTGAGAAATGAGAAAAAAAAAAAAAAAAAAAAAAGAATACTGCAAATGCAGCGGATGCTGCCAGTTAAGCAGGGATGTTGTAAGGACGTGCCTGCCGGCAGTGCAGATGAGGGGAAGTTGCAGCATGAGCTGGGGAGTAAATAGCAACGGATGGCAACAACCCTGAAGATTTGTTTTCCTGCCTCATCTTCTTTTCAGTCTTTTCTATATAAGTAACTTTTGCTGCTCTGGAGGCTATCTGCAAGGCCTGGTGACTAAGCAAGATCTAACTTTGTTTTCACATCTTGTCAGTACTCATGGGGTAATCCAAAGTGAGCATTTGTACAGCTGGATAGATGGTACTTCAGCTTCTAAAAATCAATTAAAGCTGCAGCATATTCGAGACAAAGGCTGTCAGAACTGAGGTAAGCTGACATTGCTAATGAAAGGAAAAATGGGGAGAACTTTGCATTCCTGCACTGCTGTGCTATCGCCTGCCTTCTGGGGCTGGCTCCGTACTCTGGGAAAGCTGAGCTCAAGTCTTGCCAAAGAATTCCTGCTTTGGGTGAACTTGGAGCTGCAGACTGGGAATTCTGCAGCTGCTCCAAGTAAATGCCAAACTGGAGGTCTGGCAGATCAAAGCATGAACTTAGCACTGTCCCTACATTTCAGTTTGCAACAACTCTTAATTTCAGTGGACAAGTACACTGAAGAGCTAGAAGGGAGCTGGAGGTTTCTGGCAAGCGTGTGGAAACAGACGGCAGTTCTGACACCTGGGTAAGTGTCGACAGCATCAGAGAAATGTAAGAGAAAGGAAATGCAGCTACATTCTGGAGTTCTGGTAAACTGATCAATAATTTACATTTTCAGCTTAACATTTCTGTGAGATGAATGTTGTCACCTCACTCTTCTTGGAAGCACTGTTAGTCTAAATGGGGAACGGAGTCGGACTGGCTGTGTTTTACAGGTTTGCCTTGTGTTGAACTATCTTCCACTGCCTGATGGAAGCTTGAAGGGGTACTCAACTTTAAATCAGACTTCCATTGGTTCCCCTTTTTTGTTTTGTATTTTTATAGTGAACGATTTATAAGAGCTGTATTGGCTACGTGATTGCTAGAAAATACACGTCTCAATTGTTTGTTTTGTGCATTTGGTGGTATTTTGTTTTGCAACACTGGAGTGAGTTTTCACTTCTTCTATCTTTCGGTCACGCTACAGAATGCGAGTATCCTAGGAAGTAAGATAGTTTAACAGTAAATCTATGAAACCTGGCAGAGAGGCTGTCTGCGTGCCCATCCGAGGAAGATGAAGGTTCTGAAACTAGTTTTAACTTTTGATTGATTACATTCCAAGCTGACTGGGGCTCCTTTGAATTTATTCTAGTTGGTTCTGTGGCAAGGGCCAAGTCTTTGTAGCTGGGCAGTATGTTAAACTCTGATACCCCGAAGGTTTGGTTTTGACAGAAATAGACTATTATGATTAATTTTATATTCTGCAATATTTCTGGCTGCATTTATCTCACCCTTCCCTTCCTAGCCCATATTTCTCTTGTCTCTTAAGCTGTATCTGAAATAGCACTTCTACCTGCGTGCAAGCAGTGATTCTTTTCCTGGTGTTCTTAGTCTTAGATATTGGTTGATACTTCAAGGAACAGGATTTGTTGGCTGTGAAAGCTGGCAGTTGGAGAGCTAAACGCAAGTAGTATTTGAGCATGTGTCTTCAGCCTGCCCCAATTTTACACAATGCAAAAGTGTACAGCTCAAAAAACTGAAGGATGGGCATTTGACTGGTCAGGTGGCCACTTCAGTCACTGGGTAGGAGCTTGCAGAGGCATTGTAGGAAGCCTGTGTGTTTTAGGGAAAACTGCCATTACCATGAATTATCTGTGAACATTTGCAATCTCTAAGAGTAATTACTTTATGGTCAGAGAGGAACAAACAGGGGGTCTAATACCACCAGCAAGGAATATCCTTCAGAGGTGTGGCTGTGATCTCCAGTGGGATTACTCAAGCAGATAAAGCCACCCATACATCTGAGTGCAGGCAAGGTAAACGCACCTGGAACAGGGCCTGCAGTAGCATTTGGATCTGCTGTGTAGCAGCATCTGTGCAACATGTCTTCTGTTTTTAAGAGGCCAGATTTTCTTACCTGTGTGGGGACTGGAGTCTGGATACAGCTAACCATGATGGGAAGTCAGGGTTCCTGCAGAATGAGCGTAGCTCCCCCAGAGCTCTGACAGTTTCTGTTTCACCTTGTTCTCGATACTCCTCTTCAGTAAGGTATTTAAACACTAACTTTTTTGATTTAAAGTGGTTCTTCACTTTTCTAGAATGAAATAAAAACAATTAGCATTTCTACAGTCTTCTGGCACGTGATTACTGTCGTCCTTTTTCTCTACTGCCTGCTATTAACATGCTTTAATCACTTGTTATCCTTTTAAGAGGACAAGCTACATTCTTGCATTAAAATTTTGGGACAAGGTGTCTAATGTTTGGTAGCCTGTTTACCCTAGGTCTTAACCAAAGTTGTAGAATTCCACATAACGGTATCTAATGAGCTTCAAATGAGCTTTGGATCAGGTCCTTACTGTGTATGCATGGACTAAAATCTCATAGAATTAATGAGATGGCTGCTTGCTCAGCCATTTTTAGGTGCAAAATGCAAAACGTGTCTGTGCAGAGACATGAGCTGAATCAAAACCCAGCCTGCATATGTAACTTAGAATGTAAGCAACGCTCTAAGTCTGAGTTGTTCGTGTTGTTTACTAGATCGCTTCTCTTAAATCTTGCTTTAAATTACAAAACTGAGTAGTCTGAGGCCTAAATGTTTACAATCTGATGTTTTTTTAGCTGCTGCGTAGCAATGTATAATATAATTAGGTATCAATTAGAAAGTGTGCCATGTTCTGTTCCCTTCTGTCGACTGCTTTCAATTTAAATGTTGTGATGAGTTAAGATAAGCAAGGGCTGGATGCCCATAAAACTTTCAGCTCTGTATAAAAACACCTGCTCCAACCAGCAGCGTTCACTTTCCTCCTCATTTCCCTGTAAAGGAAGAACAAAGCATAGCCCTTGTTCAGGTCAAATGGTAAAGGTCTTCCTGGCTCAGTGGGATCAGTACTAATCTTAACAGCAAATAACACAAGGTTCTTACTTATTTTGATATAGCTGCTGCTCTGAACTGTGTATCTGGCATTGTGGCCTCACAGTTTGGTGCTGCTGCTTAGTGTTTTGAAACAGAAAAAACTCCCTTATCATTCTCCAAAGAGAAATTTGTAGAGCTATATTTCAGTGCTTTTAGGCTTTAAAGAAACATCAGTTCATGAAAAGCAAAAAGAGGTCCACGCGAAGAACAAACTACAGTGTTTCAGGATAGAAAGGTATTTTCTGACTTCTGTGAATTTGTAGCCAAATCTTACCGATTTCAGAGTGAGCTGAACCTGCTTACATCAGGTAAGTATTGATCCTATATGTTGCTGTTGAAACAGCTGATGCTTCTGAGCTGCAGGCAAAATCAGTCTTTGACAAATGATAAATTCTACCTAAAATAAAAAAGCTTCAACCCAGTCCACACTTCAGCATCTAAAAAGAGGATGAGAGCAAAGCAGTATGTTCTTCAAAACTAATCAATGTGTAAAAGACTAAAAAAGGAATGCTTGGGTTTTTATTCTTTTGGTTATCCCAGTTCTAGCCTTCGCCTCTTCCTGCTTTCTGCAGTTCAGCAGAAGTCCACAGCTACAGAACAGTCTGCACTAAGTCTCTTAATCTGGATGCCATCACAGAAGGTAAAAAACAGATGTAAGTTGGCAGGAGCTTTTAGAATCTTCACTTGAATGTTGTATTTGTGACAAAACATGCTTCAAATTCAAGGATGAGCAAACATGTTGTTCCCATATTGCTAATGAAAATACTTAGCAAACTAAGGTCTACATATTGCAAGCAGTTGCCATTCCAAATGCTGTAGTGTAAATGGGGCTCTGGGAATACAGGGGAATGTCTCCACAGTGGGAAGAGATTGTTTCCACAAATTAAAGGTAGATGTACATCTGGGATATTAACCTTGGAAAACTAAAATCAGTGGAAACCACTATTTTTGTGGACACAGGTTTTTAGTCTTTGAACTCTAGACTAACTTACAAGGACTGTCACTTTTTAACATCTGCTTCCTAGGTGACAGTACATTGTTTTCTTCCTGTAAGATTCAGTACCAATTACCTGCATATTCTCTCACTACACATGAAACCAAGGCTGTATTGCTGCCGTCTAATCAATCAACCAAACAGAAATGGTTTGGTTACCATATGCTGCAGACTAGAAGGTGCAACATTTCTACTTAAGGGCCCAGTCACATTTCTCCGTTCTCCATAGAAAAAAAATATGTGCTTAAAACTGCCAAATGGAAAAGAATTAAATTCCTGTGTTTCGGGGATTTAAGCCTTTTCTATCGCAGCTTTATACTTGGTAAAAATATGAAGTGGTATTAGAAATTCATAAATCATTATTGAAGTGGAAGGGTTTTTCAGTATCAGCCTCCAGTATTTGCTGGTGATATAGGGAGGCTGACATTCACAAGTCCATACAAACCTGCCCATGTGCCAAGCAGCACCGAGGGGGTAACCCAGGCCTTTGGAGCAGAGGCTGACCGCTATCACTGCATACGCCACTTGAGGTATGGTGACACCACAATAAATCAAGACAAAGGCTGTTAATTGTAGCGTCCACGTAAACAAGGTTATGCTCACTTCAGTGGTAAGCGGCCCGTGCTGATAGCATGTGGCAAAGCTGGCAATTCCAACAGCCAGGAAATACCCTGTGGAAACAGAAAAGGAGGAGATGGAGGAAAAGGTGCAGGCTCCCCGCATAAACTTCATGAGTTTGGTTCACAAAGCTTGCAACTGCTGTGAGGTATAACCTGCTGTTTCTTGTGTTGTCTTATAGATACCTGTCTTATATGTGCTTCGTGTTTCAAAGTGTGGGGAGAGTTCAGGAGGTGGTCTATGACCAGCCTTAACTAACGCTGTGACCTGCACGGCAACGCTCCCCACGCAGGAATGTGGAGGCAGGTGCCAGATCAATGGAGTGATCAGCCTTTGCAGCCACATCCAGTTAGTAACTTATGCATCCAATTCCCCACATCCAGCAAAATACAAACCAGCGTAGCTGCCCTTCTGCTGTTATAGGGAAAGTATGAGATGGCAAATCAATGAACAAATAATGCAGGAAAAATCTGCTTTTAAAGCTGCTACTGGCCCACTATATCAAACTCCTTATTTAGTGATACAATGTGAGTAAATGCTCATCTGAGTGGATTAAGAACCCTTGGAATATTCCAATGTCTGTGGCTTTGGAGAAAAACTTACTCCATAAATGAGTCACTTGATGTTGGTTTTTATGGGCAGGTATTCATCTAACCACTAAATTAAACCAAAATCTGCAGCAATTTTTTTGTTAATTTTCTTACCCAACAAGTAGTTTCTGTGTTCAGACCACAACCACTGCATATTCTCTTTGAAGCAGTAAATAAAATAGAGAGAGGACATCCAGCAGCCAATCATTAAGATCCAGAAGGTACTGTGCTGGAAATTTAAAAACAATTTTAAAAATTTAGAACCAAAAAAACCCCATTTCAAGTCAGAATCAGGACTGTTGTGTGCAAAGGAACCCACAGGCAGAACCAGACGTGATATTCAGTGGACCTACAGGGCTTATGGTCTGTGTCAGGCTTCCACTGTACAGCGCTCTGCCCGCCACAACTACACAATCACAATTCTAACTGCATCTCTGTATTTGTGTACCATGTCCCAATTTCATAGTATATGCCTATTGCAGTGTATTCCCCGTTAACAGATCTCAGCAATATTGTGGGAATGCACAATTGTAAAAGGAAAGGAAAAATTCACATCTGCCTTGCAATGAATTGTCTCTGGTGAACGGAAGAGAATCTGTCCCAGTGGCCAATAAAATTACATCTTGATTTGGACTGATTCATAGATTCAAAAGTAAGCTTAGCTCCAGTCCAATAAAAGTAATTTGTTTCAGAATAAATTCTTCCTGTACATCAGCAATCTCCTGTTTATTTTAAACTGAGGAGCAAGCTGACTAAAACTTGATTCTGACCTAATTATATTTGCTCAACTCAAGCAAACCTGCAGTCAATTTCAGCGGAGTTACCCGGCCACAAAAACACAGCAAGGTCAGAATCTGGTACTGTACTTTTCACTTCCTATATTATGACGTTAGGGACGATTATTTTGTTTTATAAATGTATATTTACCCTTGGAATAAACCTTTTTAGTGTCAGCAGGACAAAAACTAGCAGAGCAAGAACACCCAGTATTATTCCAGAAAGGTAAAAGAACTTGGTACTCCTGTAAGAGAACAAGAGAGAATACAGGGAGAAGTGTAATTTGTAATTGGTTAAGATGCCAACATTTATAAAAACAACAGTAATCTTCAATAAGAGCTTAACACAGCCATGAGTTAGGGTTGTAGTTATGCAGTTAACAGGCATGGTTCAGATGTTAAATCCACATAAGGAAAAATTCCCAACAGATACCTTAAGGTGACTAAAGTTGTTGCAGGTTAGGAGTTAGTGTTGGGTTTTTTAACGCTTACACTATTTCTGATTTCATTGACCTTCTAGTTTCTAGTAATTTCATTTTTTTCTATATACTAATATGATTCTGTACTGTAAGAAAAGTTTGAATTTTTTAATTTAAAATGTGAAAAAAACCCCACAATCCAGCAAGTTTTTTTCTAAGCTTATGCATTGATAAAATCTACCTTTTAAATTCAGAATTAACTCTATAAAAGCTATTGCTGCTCTGCTTGTTTTAGAGGTGCCTCCTGACAATTAGTTTGTGACTCATTTTGCTTTGAAGTCATGGGCCACATGTTTTGCTATACCAATTAAGTATCCTCCTTTACATGCTATGCAAAATGTGCATCAAAAGAAGGATGGGGAAAGGCTGGCACAAAGGTGGAGGCAGATGAGGCCCCACATGATGTCGTCCTAAGCATTTCTCCGTGCAGGAAGGCATCACTTCTAACACATGCAGCATCATTTAGCATTCAGCTAACCTCGCTGCCCTACAAAAGGGAGAGAATTTTTGTGAATCCACACATTTGCTCACTGAGTGTTGCCCAGTGCAGGAAGCCTGGACACAAGCATCCTAACGCAGCTAAGCCATTAATAGAGTGTGGCACTCCAAGACATGTCACAATCTGTCCAAACACAAATGATATGAAGAAGTTTTAAATATACGTTCAGTTTCCTTTTTCACTTTGCCAAAGATCCACCTTTTTAGCTTAGAAAACAGGCCAAAGATGCACAGGCTTTGGGGAAGAAGGTGAAAAAACCCAGCAGCTAGTACTCACCTGCTCAGGCTGTTTGCAAAATGGAACAGAAAAATTCCAGCTACAAACAAAACCAAGAGCTTTCCATCTAGCACTAAAACAAAAAAAAAGAGGGAAAACCAGAAATGCACTTTAGATTAATTCAATCTGAAATGTTGATTATATAAAATATCAACAGAAAAGTCCCAATCTTCTTACAGAAGAGATGGTACATTCAGTAACGCTGGCAATAGTGAGGTGTTTGTAATCTAAACTAAGAGGTTTTTTGGTTTTTTTTTTACTTACTTTCTCGCTTCACACTCACAGTGTATGGTTCAGTTTTGAAGGGCTGTATTTTGAAACAAATATCTTCTCCATATTGTTTTATGCTTATGAAAGTTTCTTTAGATGTCTCTGGTTTCCAGAAGATTTGAACAGCACAGGCAGCAAACTCAAAAACAGTTTCTGAATTACGACAGTTGCTTTTTTCTGACATAGGCTCAAACCTGAACATTTCTGTGCTGTTAACTTTCACCTAAAAACAAACAACAGAATACACAGAGAAGTAGCTCAGAATCACTGTGTTTTAATCCTTGTTTGTCCACCAGCAATCAGAAGAAATCACCAAGCGTGATCTCTTAGTCTGTATTCTTCCTTTCTAGGACAAATGTGTTTTCCCTGCTTTTTTTTTTTGGTTATTTCCCAAAGCTCAGAGCAACTCTGTAGCATATGGAAATGGAATTTGCTTATGCATTTCATCTTCATCCTCCTCATCTCCCTCATGGATGGAATTGGCTGGTTCATCTTGCTCAGATCCTGCCCTGGTCTCAAAGAGCTGCTCTTCCAAGAAGCAGCTCCCAATGCCGTATTCCTCATCGTGCGCCTTTGTTTCTGCAGGTGAGACGTGGGGAGAGCCCAGAACAAAACCTGCAAACCTGCCAAATTTTTAAAGTGAGAAGTGATCAGCTGAGAAATGAAAAAAAAAAAAGAATACTGCAAATGCAGCGGATGCTGCCAGTTAAGCAGGGATGTTGTAAGGACGTGCCTGCCGGCAGTGCAGATGAGGGGAAGTTGCAGCATGAGCTGGGGAGTAAATAGCAACGGATGGCAACAACCCTGAAGATTTGTTTTCCTGCCTCATCTTCTTTTCAGTCTTTTCTATATAAGTAACTTTTGCTGCTCTGGAGGCTATCTGCAAGGCCTGGTGACTAAGCAAGATCTAACTTTGTTTTCACATCTTGTCAGTACTCATGGGGTAATCCAAAGTGAGCATTTGTACAGCTGGATAGATGGTACTTCAGCTTCTAAAAATCAATTAAAGCTGCAGCATATTCGAGACAAAGGCTGTCAGAACTGAGGTAAGCTGACATTGCTAATGAAAGGAAAAATGGGGAGAACTTTGCATTCCTGCACTGCTGTGCTATCGCCTGCCTTCTGGGGCTGGCTCCGTACTCTGGGAAAGCTGAGCTCAAGTCTTGCCAAAGAATTCCTGCTTTGGGTGAACTTGGAGCTGCAGACTGGGAATTCTGCAGCTGCTCCAAGTAAATGCCAAACTGGAGGTCTGGCAGATCAAAGCATGAACTTAGCACTGTCCCTACATTTCAGTTTGCAACAACTCTTAATTTCAGTGGACAAGTACACTGAAGAGCTAGAAGGGAGCTGGAGGTTTCTGGCAAGCGTGTGGAAACAGACGGCAGTTCTGACACCTGGGTAAGTGTCGACAGCATCAGAGAAATGTAAGAGAAAGGAAATGCAGCTACATTCTGGAGTTCTGGTAAACTGATCAATAATTTACATTTTCAGCTTAACATTTCTGTGAGATGAATGTTGTCACCTCACTCTTCTTGGAAGCACTGTTAGTCTAAATGGGGAACGGAGTCGGACTGGCTGTGTTTTACAGGTTTGCCTTGTGTTGAACTATCTTCCACTGCCTGATGGAAGCTTGAAGGGGTACTCAACTTTAAATCAGACTTCCATTGGTTCCCCTTTTTTGTTTTGTATTTTTATAGTGAACGATTTATAAGAGCTGTATTGGCTACGTGATTGCTAGAAAATACACGTCTCAATTGTTTGTTTTGTGCATTTGGTGGTATTTTGTTTTGCAACACTGGAGTGAGTTTTCACTTCTTCTATCTTTCGGTCACGCTACAGAATGCGAGTATCCTAGGAAGTAAGATAGTTTAACAGTAAATCTATGAAACCTGGCAGAGAGGCTGTCTGCGTGCCCATCCGAGGAAGATGAAGGTTCTGAAACTAGTTTTAACTTTTGATTGATTACATTCCAAGCTGACTGGGGCTCCTTTGAATTTATTCTAGTTGGTTCTGTGGCAAGGGCCAAGTCTTTGTAGCTGGGCAGTATGTTAAACTCTGATACCCCGAAGGTTTGGTTTTGACAGAAATAGACTATTATGATTAATTTTATATTCTGCAATATTTCTGGCTGCATTTATCTCACCCTTCCCTTCCTAGCCCATATTTCTCTTGTCTCTTAAGCTGTATCTGAAATAGCACTTCTACCTGCGTGCAAGCAGTGATTCTTTTCCTGGTGTTCTTAGTCTTAGATATTGGTTGATACTTCAAGGAACAGGATTTGTTGGCTGTGAAAGCTGGCAGTTGGAGAGCTAAACGCAAGTAGTATTTGAGCATGTGTCTTCAGCCTGCCCCAATTTTACACAATGCAAAAGTGTACAGCTCAAAAAACTGAAGGATGGGCATTTGACTGGTCAGGTGGCCACTTCAGTCACTGGGTAGGAGCTTGCAGAGGCATTGTAGGAAGCCTGTGTGTTTTAGGGAAAACTGCCATTACCATGAATTATCTGTGAACATTTGCAATCTCTAAGAGTAATTACTTTATGGTCAGAGAGGAACAAACAGGGGGTCTAATACCACCAGCAAGGAATATCCTTCAGAGGTGTGGCTGTGATCTCCAGTGGGATTACTCAAGCAGATAAAGCCACCCATACATCTGAGTGCAGGCAAGGTAAACGCACCTGGAACAGGGCCTGCAGTAGCATTTGGATCTGCTGTGTAGCAGCATCTGTGCAACATGTCTTCTGTTTTTAAGAGGCCAGATTTTCTTACCTGTGTGGGGACTGGAGTCTGGATACAGCTAACCATGATGGGAAGTCAGGGTTCCTGCAGAATGAGCGTAGCTCCCCCAGAGCTCTGACAGTTTCTGTTTCACCTTGTTCTCGATACTCCTCTTCAGTAAGGTATTTAAACACTAACTTTTTTGATTTAAAGTGGTTCTTCACTTTTCTAGAATGAAATAAAAACAATTAGCATTTCTACAGTCTTCTGGCACGTGATTACTGTCGTCCTTTTTCTCTACTGCCTGCTATTAACATGCTTTAATCACTTGTTATCCTTTTAAGAGGACAAGCTACATTCTTGCATTAAAATTTTGGGACAAGGTGTCTAATGTTTGGTAGCCTGTTTACCCTAGGTCTTAACCAAAGTTGTAGAATTCCACATAACGGTATCTAATGAGCTTCAAATGAGCTTTGGATCAGGTCCTTACTGTGTATGCATGGACTAAAATCTCATAGAATTAATGAGATGGCTGCTTGCTCAGCCATTTTTAGGTGCAAAATGCAAAACGTGTCTGTGCAGAGACATGAGCTGAATCAAAACCCAGCCTGCATATGTAACTTAGAATGTAAGCAACGCTCTAAGTCTGAGTTGTTCGTGTTGTTTACTAGATCGCTTCTCTTAAATCTTGCTTTAAATTACAAAACTGAGTAGTCTGAGGCCTAAATGTTTACAATCTGATGTTTTTTTAGCTGCTGCGTAGCAATGTATAATATAATTAGGTATCAATTAGAAAGTGTGCCATGTTCTGTTCCCTTCTGTCGACTGCTTTCAATTTAAATGTTGTGATGAGTTAAGATAAGCAAGGGCTGGATGCCCATAAAACTTTCAGCTCTGTATAAAAACACCTGCTCCAACCAGCAGCGTTCACTTTCCTCCTCATTTCCCTGTAAAGGAAGAACAAAGCATAGCCCTTGTTCAGGTCAAATGGTAAAGGTCTTCCTGGCTCAGTGGGATCAGTACTAATCTTAACAGCAAATAACACAAGGTTCTTACTTATTTTGATATAGCTGCTACTCTGAACTGTGTATCTGGCATTGTGGCCTCACAGTTTGGTGCTGCTGCTTAGTGTTTTGAAACAGAAAAAACTCCCTTATCATTCTCCAAAGAGAAATTTGTAGAGCTATATTTCAGTGCTTTTAGGCTTTAAAGAAACATCAGTTCATGAAAAGCAAAAAGAGGTCCACGCGAAGAACAAACTACAGTGTTTCAGGATAGAAAGGTATTTTCTGACTTCTGTGAATTTGTAGCCAAATCTTACCGATTTCAGAGTGAGCTGAACCTGCTTACATCAGGTAAGTATTGATCCTATATGTTGCTGTTGAAACAGCTGATGCTTCTGAGCTGCAGGCAAAATCAGTCTTTGACAAATGATAAATTCTACCTAAAATAAAAAAGCTTCAACCCAGTCCACACTTCAGCATCTAAAAAGAGGATGAGAGCAAAGCAGTATGTTCTTCAAAACTAATCAATGTGTAAAAGACTAAAAAAGGAATGCTTGGGTTTTTATTCTTTTGGTTATCCCAGTTCTAGCCTTCGCCTCTTCCTGCTTTCTGCAGTTCAGCAGAAGTCCACAGCTACAGAACAGTCTGCACTAAGTCTCTTAATCTGGATGCCATCACAGAAGGTAAAAAACAGATGTAAGTTGGCAGGAGCTTTTAGAATCTTCACTTGAATGTTGTATTTGTGACAAAACATGCTTCAAATTCAAGGATGAGCAAACATGTTGTTCCCATATTGCTAATGAAAATACTTAGCAAACTAAGGTCTACATATTGCAAGCAGTTGCCATTCCAAATGCTGTAGTGTAAATGGGGCTCTGGGAATACAGGGGAATGTCTCCACAGTGGGAAGAGATTGTTTCCACAAATTAAAGGTAGATGTACATCTGGGATATTAACCTTGGAAAACTAAAATCAGTGGAAACCACTATTTTTGTGGACACAGGTTTTTAGTCTTTGAACTCTAGACTAACTTACAAGGACTGTCACTTTTTAACATCTGCTTCCTAGGTGACAGTACATTGTTTTCTTCCTGTAAGATTCAGTACCAATTACCTGCATATTCTCTCACTACACATGAAACCAAGGCTGTATTGCTGCCGTCTAATCAATCAACCAAACAGAAATGGTTTGGTTACCATATGCTGCAGACTAGAAGGTGCAACATTTCTACTTAAGGGCCCAGTCACATTTCTCCGTTCTCCATAGAAAAAAAATATGTGCTTAAAACTGCCAAATGGAAAAGAATTAAATTCCTGTGTTTCGGGGATTTAAGCCTTTTCTATCGCAGCTTTATACTTGGTAAAAATATGAAGTGGTATTAGAAATTCATAAATCATTATTGAAGTGGAAGGGTTTTTCAGTATCAGCCTCCAGTATTTGCTGGTGATACAGGGAGGCTGACATTCACAAGTCCATACAAACCTGCCCATGTGCCAAGCAGCACCGAGGGGGTAACCCAGGCCTTTGGAGCAGAGGCTGACCGCTATCACTGCATACGCCACTTGAGGTATGGTGACACCACAATAAATCAAGACAAAGGCTGTTAATTGTAGCGTCCACGTAAACAAGGTTATGCTCACTTCAGTGGTAAGCGGTCCGTGCTGATAGCATGTGGCAAAGCTGGCAATTCCAACAGCCAGGAAATACCCTGTGGAAACAGAAAAGGAGGAGATGGAGGAAAAGGTGCAGGCTACCCGCATAAACTTCATGAGTTTGGTTCACAAAGCTTGCAACTGCTGTGAAGTATAACCTGCTGTTTCTTGTGTTGTCTTATAGATACCTGTCTTATATGTGCTTCGTGTTTCAAAGTGTGGGGAGAGTTCAGGAGGTGGTCTATGACCAGCCTTAACTAACGCTGTGACCTGCACGGCAACGCTCCCCACGCAGGAATGTGGAGGCAGGTGCCAGATCAATGGAGTGATCAGCCTTTGCAGCCACATCCAGTTAGTAACTTATGCATCCAATTCCCCACATCCAGCAAAATACAAACCAGCGTAGCTGCCCTTCTGCTGTTATAGGGAAAGTATGAGATGGCAAATCAATGAACAAATAATGCAGGAAAAATCTGCTTTTAAAGCTGCTACTGGCCCACTATATCAAACTCCTTATTTAGTGATACAATGTGAGTAAATGCTCATCTGAGTGGATTAAGAACCCTTGGAATATTCCAATGTCTGTGGCTTTGGAGAAAAACTTACTCCATAAATGAGTCACTTGATGTTGGTTTTTATGGGCAGGTATTCATCTAACCACTAAATTAAACCAAAATCTGCAGCAATTTTTTTGTTAATTTTCTTACCCAACAAGTAGTTTCTGTGTTCAGACCACAACCACTGCATATTCTCTTTGAAGCAGTAAATAAAATAGAGAGAGGACATCCAGCAGCCAATCATTAAGATCCAGAAGGTACTGTGCTGGAAATTTAAAAACAATTTTAAAAATTTAGAACCAAAAAAACCCCATTTCAAGTCAGAATCAGGACTGTTGTGTGCAAAGGAACCCACAGGCAGAACCAGACGTGATATTCAGTGGACCTACAGGGCTTATGGTCTGTGTCAGGCTTCCACTGTACAGCGCTCTGCCCGCCACAACTACACAATCACAATTCTAACTGCATCTCTGTATTTGTGTACCATGTCCCAATTTCATAGTATATGCCTATTGCAGTGTATTCCCCGTTAACAGATCTCAGCAATATTGTGGGAATGCACAATTGTAAAAGGAAAGGAAAAATTCACATCTGCCTTGCAATGAATTGTCTCTGGTGAACGGAAGAGAATCTGTCCCAGTGGCCAATAAAATTACATCTTGATTTGGACTGATTCATAGATTCAAAAGTAAGCTTAGCTCCAGTCCAATAAAAGTAATTTGTTTCAGAATAAATTCTTCCTGTACATCAGCAATCTCCTGTTTATTTTAAACTGAGGAGCAAGCTGACTAAAACTTGATTCTGACCTAATTATATTTGCTCAACTCAAGCAAACCTGCAGTCAATTTCAGCGGAGTTACCCGGCCACAAAAACACAGCAAGGTCAGAATCTGGTACTGTACTTTTCACTTCCTATATTATGACGTTAGGGACGATTATTTTGTTTTATAAATGTATATTTACCCTTGGAATAAACCTTTTTAGTGTCAGCAGGACAAAAACTAGCAGAGCAAGAACACCCAGTATTATTCCAGAAAGGTAAAAGAACTTGGTACTCCTGTAAGAGAACAAGAGAGAATACAGGGAGAAGTGTAATTTGTAATTGGTTAAGATGCCAACATTTATAAAAACAACAGTAATCTTCAATAAGAGCTTAACACAGCCATGAGTTAGGGTTGTAGTTATGCAGTTAACAGGCATGGTTCAGATGTTAAATCCACATAAGGAAAAATTCCCAACAGATACCTTAAGGTGACTAAAGTTGTTGCAGGTTAGGAGTTAGTGTTGGGTTTTTTAACGCTTACACTATTTCTGATTTCATTGACCTTCTAGTTTCTAGTAATTTCATTTTTTTCTATATACTAATATGATTCTGTACTGTAAGAAAAGTTTGAATTTTTTAATTTAAAATGTGAAAAAAACCCCACAATCCAGCAAGTTTTTTTCTAAGCTTATGCATTGATAAAATCTACCTTTTAAATTCAGAATTAACTCTATAAAAGCTATTGCTGCTCTGCTTGTTTTAGAGGTGCCTCCTGACAATTAGTTTGTGACTCATTTTGCTTTGAAGTCATGGGCCACATGTTTTGCTATACCAATTAAGTATCCTCCTTTACATGCTATGCAAAATGTGCATCAAAAGAAGGATGGGGAAAGGCTGGCACAAAGGTGGAGGCAGATGAGGCCCCACATGATGTCGTCCTAAGCATTTCTCCGTGCAGGAAGGCATCACTTCTAACACATGCAGCATCATTTAGCATTCAGCTAACCTCGCTGCCCTACAAAAGGGAGAGAATTTTTGTGAATCCACACATTTGCTCACTGAGTGTTGCCCAGTGCAGGAAGCCTGGACACAAGCATCCTAACGCAGCTAACCCATTAATAGAGTGTGGCACTCCAAGACATGTCACAATCTGTCCAAACACAAATGATATGAAGAAGTTTTAAATATACGTTCAGTTTCCTTTTTCACTTTGCCAAAGATCCACCTTTTTAGCTTAGAAAACAGGCCAAAGATGCACAGGCTTTGGGGAAGAAGGTGAAAAAACCCAGCAGCTAGTACTCACCTGCTCAGGCTGTTTGCAAAATGGAACAGAAAAATTCCAGCTACAAACAAAACCAAGAGCTTTCCATCTAGCACTAAAACAAAAAAAAAGAGGGAAAACCAGAAATGCACTTTAGATTAATTCAATCTGAAATGTTGATTATATAAAATATCAACAGAAAAGTCCCAATCTTCTTACAGAAGAGATGGTACATTCAGTAACGCTGGCAATAGTGAGGTGTTTGTAATCTAAACTAAGAGGTTTTTTGGTTTTTTTTTTACTTACTTTCTCGCTTCACACTCACAGTGTATGGTTCAGTTTTGAAGGGCTGTATTTTGAAACAAATATCTTCTCCATATTGTTTTATGCTTATGAAAGTTTCTTTAGATGTCTCTGGTTTCCAGAAGATTTGAACAGCACAGGCAGCAAACTCAAAAACAGTTTCTGAATTACGACAGTTGCTTTTTTCTGACATAGGCTCAAACCTGAACATTTCTGTGCTGTTAACTTTCACCTAAAAACAAACAACAGAATACACAGAGAAGTAGCTCAGAATCACTGTGTTTTTTTGGTTTTCTGAACTATATAGCATAAAAGCCATACACTGTACTTTTCACTTCCTATATTATGACGTTAGGGACGATTATTTTGTTTTATAAATGTATATTTACCCTTGGAATAAACCTTTTTAGTGTCAGCAGGACAAAAACTAGCAGAGCAAGAACACCCAGTATTATTCCAGAAAGGTAAAAGAACTTGGTACTCCTGTAAGAGAACAAGAGAGAATACAGGGAGAAGTGTAATTTGTAATTGGTTAAGATGCCAACATTTATAAAAACAACAGTAATCTTCAATAAGAGCTTAACACAGCCATGAGTTAGGGTTGTAGTTATGCAGTTAACAGGCATGGTTCAGATGTTAAATCCACATAAGGAAAAATTCCCAACAGATACCTTAAGGTGACTAAAGTTGTTGCAGGTTAGGAGTTAGTGTTGGGTTTTTTAACGCTTACACTATTTCTGATTTCATTGACCTTCTAGTTTCTAGTAATTTCATTTTTTTCTATATACTAATATGATTCTGTACTGTAAGAAAAGTTTGAATTTTTTAATTTAAAATGTGAAAAAAACCCCACAATCCAGCAAGTTTTTTTCTAAGCTTATGCATTGATAAAATCTACCTTTTAAATTCAGAATTAACTCTATAAAAGCTATTGCTGCTCTGCTTGTTTTAGAGGTGCCTCCTGACAATTAGTTTGTGACTCATTTTGCTTTGAAGTCATGGGCCACATGTTTTGCTATACCAATTAAGTATCCTCCTTTACATGCTATGCAAAATGTGCATCAAAAGAAGGATGGGGAAAGGCTGGCACAAAGGTGGAGGCAGATGAGGCCCCACATGATGTCGTCCTAAGCATTTCTCCGTGCAGGAAGGCATCACTTCTAACACATGCAGCATCATTTAGCATTCAGCTAACCTCGCTGCCCTACAAAAGGGAGAGAATTTTTGTGAATCCACACATTTGCTCACTGAGTGTTGCCCAGTGCAGGAAGCCTGGACACAAGCATCCTAACGCAGCTAAGCCATTAATAGAGTGTGGCACTCCAAGACATGTCACAATCTGTCCAAACACAAATGATATGAAGAAGTTTTAAATATACGTTCAGTTTCCTTTTTCACTTTGCCAAAGATCCACCTTTTTAGCTTAGAAAACAGGCCAAAGATGCACAGGCTTTGGGGAAGAAGGTGAAAAAACCCAGCAGCTAGTACTCACCTGCTCAGGCTGTTTGCAAAATGGAACAGAAAAATTCCAGCTACAAACAAAACCAAGAGCTTTCCATCTAGCACTAAAACAAAAAAAAAGAGGGAAAACCAGAAATGCACTTTAGATTAATTCAATCTGAAATGTTGATTATATAAAATATCAACAGAAAAGTCCCAATCTTCTTACAGAAGAGATGGTACATTCAGTAACGCTGGCAATAGTGAGGTGTTTGTAATCTAAACTAAGAGGTTTTTTGGTTTTTTTTTTACTTACTTTCTCGCTTCACACTCACAGTGTATGGTTCAGTTTTGAAGGGCTGTATTTTGAAACAAATATCTTCTCCATATTGTTTTATGCTTATGAAAGTTTCTTTAGATGTCTCTGGTTTCCAGAAGATTTGAACAGCACAGGCAGCAAACTCAAAAACAGTTTCTGAATTACGACAGTTGCTTTTTTCTGACATAGGCTCAAACCTGAACATTTCTGTGCTGTTAACTTTCACCTAAAAACAAACAACAGAATACACAGAGAAGTAGCTCAGAATCACTGTGTTTTTTTGGTTTTCTGAACTATATAGCATAAAAGCCATACATGTGATAATGGAAAACTATAGAAAAAAAATATGTATAGAGAGCTTGAGGATAAAATGCTAGTTCAATTCTTAGTTGATTAATATTGCCTATTAATATTATGCAAACATTAATTGTTTAGGCTTTATAAGTTGATTCAGAGAACTCAACATCAGAAAAATTCTATGGAGGGGCCTCAATCCATCCAAAAGCTTGGTGGGTTTGGTTTTACCATGACACTTGCCCACACACAAGTTTCTAACAAACCCAGTAATATTTGACCGACCACAGTTTCGTTTATGGATGTTCGTTTGCTTCCCCATTTCCCTCCTGAACCAGAAGAAATTTGGCTTACTTTTCTTGTAGTTAATAATGTAATCTTCATATTAGGGACAGAAGAGGGATAAGGAAAATGAAAGATATCATAAACAGAAATTTAAATATAATCTCATTCCCATTTAATGTTTTGGGGTTTTTTTTGCAATAAAACAGGCTTCTACTGGGAGAAGAGTAAAGGGGAAGAATCTCCTCCCTTGAGCGGCTGGCCACGCTTCTTTTGATGCTATTATTTATTTCATTTATTTTTATATGTATTATATTTGATGCTTTTATGTATTTACTTATAGCTATTATTGCTTCCACTAGATTTTTATATTGCTTAGAGCTGACCTCTAAACATGCTTCTTGTAAGATGACCCCCTTACTTGGAAAACCAGAAATGCATTGCTACTGCTGTTTTTTCATTAGTCACAGTCTAATACACCTCTGGTTCCTATGCTGTGGCCTGGCTAGCTACAGCCAGTGAGTCACAGAACTGCATCTTATCCTCAAATTTTAAACTTGTATAAAGGCATGTGGTGATGAGCAGAAACGTTTGTTGCAGAGGTCAACAGTCAATAGATAAGGCATGCAAGAAAATAACACACAACACTAAGTTAATGTTTGTGTGGCATCACACTATAAGCCGGGCTGACATCCTTCTAATAAAGAGAGACCAAAACTCACTGCATCCGAAGTGGAGGATCATAATGCTGCATTTTTGTCATGGTCCTCCCTGTACGCTGTTCAAACTGCTAATTATACAGTGATACTGCTTTGATTGTGCTAATTGATCGTACGCTTTGCTGACAAAAGTTCACATGAAATGTATTGTGTATCTCAGTGATTCCCGAAGCGGCCCCTTACCTGAAGAGTCGACCAGATGTACTGTAAGCGAATGGTTCTGTTTTGCACATAGCAGTAACACTTTTCATCCTGTTTCTGGATGACATCCATTTCCTGCAAAAAGCTACAGTTTCTACCTGGGAGGGGAGAGGGCAGAAAAGTTCATTTTAAGCATGTGTCAAATACAAACGTACAATTTTCCCCCATTTCATTGTTGTATACGCTGAGGGAATCGCAAGGAGTTTCCAGATAATCAAACACAAAAATTATGCTGCAGGGTAGCATGTTCAATATCGTTTTGATGAAAATTCAAATTAGACTTCTAATCAAGTCATTTAGGTTCCAGAGTAAACTACACCACCTTTGGGAAAAAAAAAAATAAATTAATCTAGGGTGGTATTTTTAAAACATGTAATCCGTAAAAGCTTGGCTTCGGTATCAGTGTTTTGATGGCAGTGGAACAGGGCCTCTGGGCCAAATTCACTGCTGGCATGAGTGGGTGTAACTCCACCGGAGTCGATGCTTATACCAATGGTGAATGCAACTGTGGGAGTCTGAGCAGGTAAACAGGCTCACATATTAAAATAGTCATTTAGCACATGACATGGCTGCTCATCGCAGAAAATGTACTCCTCTCCCTCAGAAAATGTACACAACTCCTTTTTTAAAAAAAAATAAATTTTCCTCACGTTGTCCAGCCATGGCATGTAATAACACAACTCCACTGGTAGCTTGTCTTAAGTCATTTCATTAGGGATGCTAATTGGTCTAACTCTCCTGAAATGTTAGTGACCCCCTACGATCTTCAGAATTAGATTGCACTTTTGAGCAGAACTACACCTAAAAGATTTATGGAGCAAATATTAAGAATAACATACATTCCGATCTATATACATGTGTAAAATATACCCTACAGTGCATTACCACAGTGTTCCAGGAACATAATTAAAAAGAAGAATAAAGGAAATAATTACAGATCTGAACAGAGGGAATCATCTGGCTCACTGAATAGAAAATGTCGGTCTAAGCCAAGCTCAGTAATAACTGCTAAAACACTGTCATGCGCTTAGAACAGCAAAACGCATGTGTGCAAAACAGACTCAATCTGGACAAGGAGATACTGTTTGCAGGTAACAACCTGCCCTGTCTCTGTAAGGAAGCTGAATTTAGACTAAATTGTTTTTTAACCAATTTAATTAAGCCAATGAAAAAATACCTGTGTGGATGCGCTTACATAAGTTTATTAAGTCATCCCAGAATTAAAGTGTCCACAGATGATCCCGCTAAAGTAAATTGGTTTAAACGTGAAGTTTGGGCATTTTTATTGGGACAAAATTACCCATCTGATTAATTTTCATCCACGGCAAATCCAGCGGGCGGGAGCCAAACCCTTCAGACCAGGGCCAGCAGGCTCTTGACAGGCACTTCTGTGAAAGTCATTGAAGGAAGCTGCAGAAGGGTTTGCTGGTCTCCGAGAAGTGCCGAGGCCTGATGCAGCAAGCCGGTGAGACTGAGCAATACCCAGGGCTGAGACTGACATCACCCAGTGATGGGAAACAGCAATACCCTCCCGGCACCTCATCAGAGCCCAGAGCGCCCGCGCTGCTGGGGGTATTAGGATTTTCTGCCACTGTGGATAAAACATCCACCCGCATCAGCAGTGTCCTCCATGTACAATGCTAAAAAATACTGTCCTACCTCCCCTTCGGGCAGTTTCTAGTGGAAAATAATTTCCTTCAAACATGCCATCAGCTCCATAGAGTGCAACAATCACATTCCAAAAGGAAAGATGCTTCTGAAGAGGTTAGCATCAGATGGAGGAGGGCTGTAGCTACCACGAGTGCAGCTCTGGAGATGACAAGCAATGGAAAGCACGGGCATCTGCTGCACAGCCCGGAGATGCCCAAGACTCAGGCACAGCCGAGGCAAGCGGGGAGGCAGTTTATTGAGTTGTGTGTCATTACTTACAACCGAGAACAACCTTTAGGGTTTTCACTGCCCTCGTTAATAAGAGATCTGTTCTGCACCCAGTTCTCCTGACCCAAGCTAAGCAGACAGTAACACAGCCCCCTGGTCAGTTTCCCGTGCCCGCGCTTCCCAGCCTCCCACTGCCAGGCCCGAGAGGGGCACGCCGTGCCCCTGCCCGCCTCACACAATAATCTTTTGGAAACCGGAGATGGGACAAGTGGGAGAAAACAGCAAAGCGCCTCCAGGACGCGTCTGGAGCCCGCAAGGACTTCAGCTATGGGCCGAAGCGGGTGGGGAGGCGGCGGCCCCGGCCTTCCCCCCATGGCGGGGCAGCGCCATTTTGGTCAGCAGGCCGCGCTGCACCGGCCGCCGCGGAGGCTGAGGGCGGCCGTGGGAGGGCACCGTGACCCCCCCGCTCCCCGTTCTCAAGGGGATGCTGAGGGGAGGTTGTGTGTGTGAGGAAACTCCTTCCCCGGCAGGGAAAAGGGAAAACCCCCCTCCCCAAGACCGCCGCCCCACCCGCGGCCTGCTCTGCCCCACCGGCGGGGCTGCCCCGGCCCGGCACCCCTCGTTGGGGGGGCGGAAGGGGAAGGCCAGTACCTGCTGATGGCGCCTCCCCGCTGCCCCGGCCCAGCCCCAGCAGGAGGAGGAGGAGGAGCACGGCGGGCACCGGCCGGGCGCGGCGGCGGGGACTCATGTGGCGGCCGCCGGCTCCGGCCTCGCCCCAACGGCGGCGACGAGGGCGGGCCCGGCGCGGGGAAGGGGCGGTGCGGCCCAGCGCTCCCCCGCCGCACGGCTCTTCCTCCTCCTCCTCCTCCTCCTTCTCCTCCTCCGGCAGGGCCGCGGCGGTGATCGGCCGTGGGCAGGGGGTTCACCCCGGTTGATGCGGAATGCTCGCGGGGGGAGCGAGCTGTGCAGGGGCAGGCGCGGCTCCTGGACCCACCCCACCTTTGGCTTCTCCTCCTCGTGTTTTAGGGCTCCGGGGGAGTTCGGGGTCTGCGCTTGGAAAGAAAAAAAAGGAAAATCCCGTGGATTTAACAGCTCAGCAGAAGCGTCTCCTGGGGTTGCTGTCCCGCCTCTGCCTGGCTGGCTGAGAAACGTTGACTGCCCTTACCGGCCAAGATGTAAATT